TGTGAAATGAACGTGATGGTTTAAAAAACAAGGGGGCTGGGGATGTAGCTCAGTGGTTCTGCCGCTTGTCTGGCAAGCGCAAGGACCCGAGTTCCATCCCTGGTACAAAAAAAATTCCTGATCAGCTGTGGGGTTGCCTCTCGCTAGCTCACGCCCACACTCCCTTTGAAACAAAGGTGGGTGAACAGACCCTGCCCAATGCAGCTCTCCAGAAAGCCCCAAGCGGAGGCCTGACCAGGAACAGCTCCCTCCGTGGATCTCCTTGGTCTCCCAGGCAGGGAGAGAGCAGCTGGGGCCTCCCCATCCCTGGGGCTACTGTCTCTAGAAGGGGCTTGTAGGGCGAAGACCAGGATGCAGCCCTCCCTCCCCCAGCCCCTCACCCACCGCAGCCCCACCGTGTTTAGGCAGCTCAGGTTAAGGCTGGGAGGATCCAGTCAGACTGCGGCCCCACCTCAATCCCCACCTGGGATGCAGGGAGTCCGGAGGCATAGCTTGGGGCAGCGCCTCCTGCTGGGCCCAAGGGCAGACAGGTAGAGCTGGGCCACTGGATATGGGGAGGGGGGCGCCACCCTGTCCGCCTCCCCCTCACTCTGAGGCCGTAGCCAGGCCGGGTCTCTGCAACTTTCCGTCTTGCCAGCTCCGCCTTCCAGCCTTGCCATAGCCTCTGGCTCCCCCTCCCAGGACACAGAGTTTTTTGGTTAAAGACCGTCCTTTAGCTTTAATTTCAAGCCAGGGTCTCATTAAGTCACAAAGTTGCCCGTTCTGGGCTCGAACTTGTGGTCCTCCTGCTTCAGCCTCCCAGAGTGCTGACATGTCAGGTGGGCATCAGTACGTGGGCTCGAACTTTTAAATGAACAAAGAGGCTTAGGGGTGGCACAAGGCGGGGGTGGGGAAGACAGAGAAGCCCTCTTCTGTACGATTTTTGGGTAAGGCTTTGAGCACCTGTGGAACGCCAGGCCCCAGCCCCAGGGAGCGGCGGGGGCAAAGGTCCTGGGATAAGAGGGTGTTCAAGGGTCAGCAAGAAAGCTGGTGTAGCCGGGGCCAGGGGAGTGACCACGGGTCCATTGGGGGCGGTGGCAGGAACGGAGTGACACGGCAAACGGGAAGTCCGTGTCCTCCCTCCCCTACCCCATGCGGCCGGCCTCGTCTCCGAGGCCCTGGCAACCTTGGGCACAGACGGGAGCGGTGCACCCTGGTCTCACCTCACGGGGACCTCTCACCCGCCCCAGCGCGCCTCGCCACGTCCCTGGAAGGCTTTGACATCGCCTCGGTGCAGCAGCAGCGACAGGAGCAGAGCTACTTCGTGCGCCTGGGCTCGCTGTCCGAGCGGCTGCGCCAGCACGCCTACGAGCACTCGCTGGGGAAGCTGCGCAGCACCAAGGAGCACGCGCAGGAAGCGCTGCAGCAGCTGGCGCACGCGCTCAGTCTGGTGAGTGGCGCAGGGGCTGGGGGCGGCGACCCCTCCCGTGCTGGGTGGAGCGTCTTGCACCTGGGGGCAGGTGCGCGGGACAGGGTCCAGCTAGCTGGGGCTATGCTTGTGTGTTGAGCGTGCTGTGGTGTAACAGAGGGTACTACCTGGCCAGGTGGGGTATTATAGGCATAACATCCCAGCACTCTGGGAGGCCGAGGCAGGAGCATCTCAAGTTGGAGCCCAGCTTGGGCAACTTAGTGACTTACTAAGACCTTGCCTCGGAATCATAAATAGAAAAGGCCTGAGATGTACCTTAGGGTGAAGGCCCTGGGTTCCATCCCCAACATAGTTTAAAAAATGAAAAGTCGGATGGGAAAGGAGCACCCCCGAGCCCTGTCCCCTACTGGTTTCTCTCTGTCGCAGATGGAAACCGTGAAGCAGGGAGTGGACCAGAAATTTCTGGAGGGGCAGGAGAAGCTGCACCGGATGTGGCTGAGTTGGAACCAGAGAACATCGCAGGGCCCGGAGAAGGACCCGGCCAAGCCGGAGGTACCCACTGAGCGTGCAGGTGCTGGGGCCCCGCCTCACCCTGCAGGCTGTTCTCCGCCCACCCAGATGCTCTCCCGGACTCTTCCTCCTCACTGTTTTCTGCCACCCTGGCGCCTCCTCAGGGAAGCCCTTCAGGATTTTCCTCCATGTGCGTGGCCTTGTAAATTCAGGGTGCTCCATAAAGAGATGACTCGCAGCTGGGTGCGGTGGCCAGGCCTATCATCCCAGCACTCGGGAAGCTGAGGCAGGAGGATCACAGAGGGTTCAAGGCCAACCTGGGCTACACAGTGAGTTTGAGGCCAGCTTGGACTACATGGCGAGACCCTGTCACAAAAAAGCAAAAGACGGGGCCTGGGATTTAGCTTTGTGGAGCTGCTGCCTGCCTCAAAAGCGCAAGGTCCCGGGTTCAATCCCCGGTACTAAAAAAAAAAATGAAAACCCATACTGAGGTGGCTCAGCCTACTAAGTGCTAAGCCAAGTGACAGATGCCTTAAGCTCCCGTCCTTCTGTTCCCATCCATCCCAGGCCCCCACAGATGCTTGCTATTCACAGGTGCTATGCAGCAACTTTTAAAGATCTCCAGCCCTAGGGGTTGCAGTTTTAGCTCAGTGGTTCCTGTGCCTGCCTCATAAGCGTAAGGACCTGAGTTTGATTCCCCAGTACCAAAAAAAAAACAAAGAACAAAAAAATCTCGAGTCCTAAAAAATAATCCAGCCCTGTCCTCACTGTCCCAGGCGGGGCCTCTTGCTGGCACTGGAGCTGCCTGTTGCTTTAGATGTCTCCAAGCCAAATCCACTCCAGACCCCAAGTTCCAGGCCAGGAGGGGCCACTTAGCAACCTTCCCACCTCAGCCTGCTAAGTGCTGGCATGTGCCACCACATCTGGCATTTCCAAGACAGGGTCTTGTTACCTTGCTAGGTTGCCTAGGCTGGGCTCGAACTTTCTATGCTCCTCTCTCAGCATCCTGAAAGCTGATATTCCAAGCCTGCATCACTATACCTGACTTTTTTAATTAAATGAGTAAGCCGGGCAGGTGGTGTATATCTGTCATTCCAGCACTTAGGAGGCTGAGGCAGGAGGATCACCATGAATTTCAGGCCAGCCTGGGCTACAGTAAGTTCAGGGCGCGTCTGAACTGCATAGCAAGACTCTGTCTCAAACAAAACTAAAAAAAAAATTTTTTTGAGACAGGGTTTTACTAAGTTGTCCAGACTGGGCCCAAACTCATGATCCTCCTTTCTCAGCCTCCTGAATGGGTAGCATAACAGACGTGTACCACCACACCTGGCTGTCTGTGCGTTTTTAAAAGCTTCACAGAGCCGAGCACAGTGGAGCGCACTTGGGAGGCTGAGGCAGGAGGATCACAAGTTCAAGCCCGGCGTGGGCAACTTAGTGAGCCCTTGTCTCCAAATACAAAGTGACGAGGGCAGGGGATGGAGCTCCGTGGGAAGCCCTGGGTTCAGTCTCCGTCCTGGAAAAGCTCCCCGGCCCGGCTGCTGGCAGAGCCCAGCTTCAGCAGCAAGCGTGTCCTGCTGTCCCCGCAGGTGGAGTCGCGGGCGCTGGCCATGTGCCGCGAGGTGGTGCAGCAGCTGCAGGGCACCTGTGGGTCCCTGGG